TATATAAACTTTTCTTCTCTCTCCACATCTCATCATTTTCTTCTTCCTCCCGCTTGCTTCTTCTTCTCCATCCTCTCTCCTTCTCCTATTCTTCTTCTCCATCCCATCTCCTTCGCCTCTTCTTCTCAATCTATTTTTCTCTTTGCTAACGCCTCTTTGTTTGTTTGTTTTTTTTTTCTAATTTTTTTCTCTTTGCTTATTCTCAATCTACTTCATCTTCTACTTCTCCCTCTACTTGCGCGATCGTCGTCATCTCACAGTCGCCATCGTTGCACAGTCGTTGTCATCCACAACCCATAGTTTAAGCTGCGAAGTTATTGTCTCTCATTGATGCTCGTCAAAACTGATTGGAATTGGCTGCAATGCTAGATTGGGGTTGTTGGCTGTGATGGTCGAGGATTGGATCAATTGCAAGCGCTGGGATGGTCTGTGGTTGTGGATGTTGCTTGGGTAGTCGATGGTTGTGGATAGTGCTTGGGTGGTTGCAGGCGCTTGGGTTAGGACTGCTTTGTCCCCCTTTTCCATGCGGGTCTCACTAAGAACACTTAAGGAGGTGTTTTTGGTGGGGCCAATATTAACAGTCCCACTTAAAACTAGAACCAAGTGAAAACAAACATGGGATAAAAATTTGTCTAGTCCAATCCAAGCCTAGAAGGTGCAACAAACAAGCCCATAGGCCCCGTTTGGTTCACGGAACAGATTTGAGGGAAAATCAATTCTCATGTTATTTCCCAAGGGATGGGAAATAGAAGATTCATTTCCCATGTTTGGTAATGTTGGGAAAGTAACCGAGAGATATCACTTTATTTCCTTTCCCATGTTTGTTTTGAGTAGGAATGGAAAACAAAGTTTGTATAATTTTCCAATTATACCCATATTAAATCAAATAAAAAAAGAATGCATTTAATGATATATTGTAATTCTAAATTATTAATGCGGACATAATAGTCATAAAAAATGTGTATTTAATGTTGGCTCATTTTCCTGAACTTTCCCATGAGAAGTGAAAACAAAACCCAAGTTGGGAGGAGGGATTCACTTTCCTCTTTACTTTCTCATGTGCCAGGCAACGATTTCTCATGCATGGACTTACCATGTGCCAGGCAACGATTTCCCATGCATGGACTTACCAAACATGGGAAAACAATTGATTTCCCATCCCCAAGCCTCCTTTCCCATAAACTGAATTGAGCCATAGTGTGCTAAAGAGTTGGGATAGCAAGACCTATGCCTGTTTGCATCTTAGGAGGCGTTTGATATTAGACTTGAATCCAACTTTTTAAACTCAAAAACAAAATTTAAGTCCAAAATTAAAAAAAAACATTTTTAGTAGGTCCATTTTTAAAAACCCAAACACAAAAACAACCCAATTTTTAAGAACACAAAATATATATTTTTTTCAATTTTCTTTTCTCCAACACCCAATGTGCCTCTCTCTCTCTCTCTCTCTCCATCTCACAAATTTCAAATCGGACTGGCTCCAATTTTTTGTTTTCTTTTTGTTAATTTCATTTTGGGTATCTAGTTTTTTTTTAAATTATTTATTTTTAATTTCAATTTTTTTTAGATCTTAAAAATAGTTTGGAGTTCAATACGAAACAAGTTTTTAGATCTTAAAATTAAAATTTGAAAACTCATATTTTTAAAAAGTTTTCAAAAAAAATCATAGTTTTTGAGTAGAATACCAAACGGTTCCTTAAGTTCTAGATGTTCCTAGTTATAAATTTTTCAATTAGGCCTTAGCAATCCAGAAAAAGTAGTGCATGATATATCATGATGATTTTATGGTGGTCATTCTTTGACCATTTATGTGGTTGACACCAGCTATGATAAGATATAGGTTATTGTTTCGGAACAGGTACACTGAACATAACTGAACTTGTCAAACACCATGATTGTTTGTTGTGCTAAAATATCATAATACAATATTTACATATTGGGTTTTTTTTTTAATCACAAATGGTCCTTGAGATTCGCGAAATTATCACCTTTAGTCCATTATTTTTTGTAGCTCATGCAATTAAGATTCAGTGAGACACTAGCTCGTTTAAGATTTTTTCTCTATGCCTTGAATGAATTAAAGAATATAAATGTTTGAATTAAATTAAAACTTAATACAATTGAAATCCATCACGATGAAAGCAACCACATGCAACAATAGTGATAGACCTTTTTGGCTAACATGAAAACGAACTGAAGTCAACAAGCATTAAGTTGTTTGAAGTCAATCGGATTGGATTTGAGTCAATTCGTAGTGACTGACTCATGCTCATTGCATATATGAATGTATTTCAAACAAGAGCTCTGATAAGATTTTGGTGCTTGTTTGACAAGTTAAACACTATGAACTCAACAGTGCATGCTAGTATCAAGTGCAATTGTCCATATGGTTGATACTAGGTATTTTAAGATTAAGTGGGACTTAACATAGCCAAATTTATAGAGCTCTCATATGGATTTTTGTCACATGGTGTACATCAAATTGGTCATTCCGTAAAAAATTCCATTAAATTAATGACGTGACACATATGTGAAGCCCGCACATACAATGATATAGAGCCATATGGTTTTAAATAAATATATTTCTCTCTCCCATCTTCCCTCTCTACTCTCTCTCCTATGTGTTCTCCCTCTCCCTCTCTTCTATTTCTTAACCACCCACAGCCCACCCCCAAAACTTGCCCACAACTCACCCTAGGCTTTACATATTTCAAACATGTACTAAACGATATAATTATATCGCAATTAATATAATTTCTGAGTATGTGTACATTGTGAGAAAATAGTCAATGAAACCCTATTAGAGTAGACATAGAGGTAGTTTGGTACGGAAGACTGTCATAGACTGGACTAAATAATGGTACTGTTTTGGATTGCCTTGGCTTGGCTTAAGTTGGAGGAGGCTTTACATATTTCAAACATGTACTAAACGAATTATATCGCAATTAATATAATTTCTGAGTATGTGTACATTGTGAGAAAATAGTCAATGAAACCCTATTAGAGTAGACATAGGGGTAGTTTGGTACGGAAGACTGTCATAGACTGGACTAAATAATGGTACTGTTTTGGATTGCCTTGGCTTGGCTTAAGTTGGATAATATTTGTACTGTGTTTGGTGTATGTTAGACTAGTACTAGATTTTTTGAATTTTTTGAATTTTTTTGAATTTTTAAAAATATATCAAAGTGGATTTTTTTTTTTTTTATATAAACTTTTCTTCTCTCTCCACATCTCATCATTTTCTTCTTCCTCCCGCTTGCTTCTTCTTCTCCATCCTCTCTCCTTCTCCTATTCTTCTTCTCCATCCCATCTCCTTCGCCTCTTCTTCTCAATCTATTTTTCTCTTTGCTAACGCCTCTTTGTTTGTTTGTTTTTTTTTTCTAATTTTTTTCTCTTTGCTTATTCTCAATCTACTTCATCTTCTACTTCTCCCTCTACTTGCGCGATCGTCGTCATCTCACAGTCGCCATCGTTGCACAGTCGTTGTCATCCACAACCCATAGTTTAAGCTGCGAAGTTATTGTCTCTCATTGATGCTCGTCAAAACTGATTGGAATTGGCTGCAATGCTAGATTGGGGTTGTTGGCTGTGATGGTCGAGGATTGGATCAATTGCAAGCGCTGGGATGGTCTGTGGTTGTGGATGTTGCTTGGGTAGTCGATGGTTGTGGATAGTGCTTGGGTGGTTGCAGGCGCTTGGGTTAGGACTGCTTTGTCCCCCTTTTCCATGCGGGTCTCACTAAGAACACTTAAGGAGGTGTTTTTGGTGGGGCCAATATTAACAGTCCCACTTAAAACTAGAACCAAGTGAAA